TCCCCACCTCTGTGGGTAATACGCTGTCAATGACCGCTCAGTTGGTGCAGCAGCCCTGGCATCTGAAATCCCCCTCTTCTCCCCCTTTTTTCTGCAGGGTTTCTGGGACGGATCAGAGAAATTCTGATTGGTCAGTGCAGGATCAGAGAATAACTCTGATCCATCCCAGAAGTGAAAAGAAGGGGGAGAAGAGGGCAGTTTAAAGTCCCCTAGAAAGCTATGCCAGCTGAGTAGGCACTGACAGCTCATCAGTCACAGGGGTAAGATTGAAGAGTGTTAGCTGATGGTTTTCTTTTTCATTTTTTCTCTGAAAAGTTGAACTAACACTTTCAAATACATTTTCCCTTAAAGAAAAAATATATTACTGTTGAGTTATATCTGTTCATAAAGCAGTTGAAAATCCTCACATATACCCAGTGAGGTGATTGACCTCAGAATTATACACAAAGATGAAACACATTCTCCTATATACAGGTGAAACTCGAAAAATTAGAATATCGTGCAAAAGTTCATTTATTTCAGTAATGCAACTTAAAAGGTGAAACTAATATATGAGACTCATTACATGCAAAGCAAGATAGTTCAAGCCGTGATTTGTCATAATTGTGATGATTATTGCTTACAGCTCATGAAAAACCCCAAATCCACAATCTCATAAAATTAGAATAAAACAAGGATTGTACATAGAACAATATCGGACCTCTGAAAAGTATAAGCATGCATATTATTATTATTATTATTATACAGTATTTATAAAGCGCCAATAGTTCACTCAGCGCTGTACATTACAAAGGGGGACAGAACATGTGACAGAGCAATACCAATACAATGCAAAACATGAGGGGATCGAGGGCCCTGCTCTTTTGAGCTTACAATCTAGAAGGGATGGGATAGTGGTACAGGAGGAGATAGCTGTGGGGGATGGAGTGGTAGGAAGAGTGGAGGAGGTCAGCAAGTTAGCAGGGGGTGAGGTAGGCTTCCCTGAAGAGATGGGTTTTCAGGGTGCGCCTAAAGGAGAGGAGAGTAGGTGATAATCTGATGGGTTGGGGAAGGGAGTTCCAGAGGATGGGTGACACCCTGGAGAAGTCCTGGAGGCGGGCATGGGAGGAGGAGACAAGGGAACTAGAGAGAAGGAGGTCTTGTGAGGAGCGGAGTATGCGTGCTGGGCGGGGGGTACTTGGATATTAGGTCAGTGATGTAGTTCGGGGCAGTATGGTGGACAGCTTTGTATGTCAGTGTTAGGATTTTAAATTTGATCCGTTGCGCAATCGGAAGCCAGTGGAGGGATTGGCAGAGGGGGGTGGCGGAAACGGAGCGGTTGGAAAGGTGAATGAGTCTGGCAGCCGTATTCAGGATCGACTGAAGCGGGGATAGCCAGCGGTGAGGCAGGCCAGTGAGGAGGGAGTTGCAGTAGTCGAGTCGTGATATGATGAGGGAGTGGATGAGCTGTTTAGTGGTTTCTGGGGTTAGGAACGTGCGGATTTTGGCGATGTTGCGGAGGTGGAGTCTGCACGAGTTTGTTAAAGATTGGACTTGGGGCTGGAAGGATAGGTTGGAGTCCAGAATGACACCGAGTACTCTGGCCTGCAGAGCGGGTTTGATATTGGCATTATTGGATGTGATGTAGAAGTCAATGGGGGGTGGGGTTCGGGCTGGGGGAAGACAAGGAGCTCGGTTTTGGAGAGATTCACTTTAAGGAAGTGGAGCGACATCCAATCTGATATGTCGCTCAGTAGGTGTGTGATTTGGGCAGAGACCGAGGGGGTGAGGTGGGGGGTTGAGAGATAGATTTGTGTGTCGTCGGCATAGAGGTGGCAGTTGAAGCCGTGAGAGTGTATGAGTTGGCCAAGGGAGGAGGTGTAGATGGAGAAGAGAAGGGGCCCAAGGACAGAGCCTTGAGGGACCCCAACAGAGAGGGGGAGTGAGGGGGAGGTGGTAGCATTATAGGTAACGCTGAAAGAGCGTTGTGACAGGTAGGATGAGAGCCAGGAGAGAACAGAATCTCTGAGGCCGAGGGGAGTGTAGTATTTTGAGGAGGAGGGGGTGGTCAACTGTGTCGAAGGCCGCAGAGAGGTCAAGGAGTAGGAGCACTGAATAGTGGCCATTAGCTTTGGCGGTTAGAAGGTCGTTGGAGAGTTTGAGTAAGGTGGTTTCGGTGGAGTGTAGGGGGCGGAAGCCAGACTGTAGGGGATCGAGGAGGTTGTTGTCGTTGAGGTGAGAGCATAGGCGGGTATAGACGAGGCGCTCGAGGAGTTTAGATGTAAGTGGGAGCAGGGAGATGGGTCTGAGGTTGTTCGGGTCATTGGGGTCCAGGGAGGGCTTTTTAAGTATGGGGGTGATGTGTGCATGCTTCAGTGGGGAGGGAAAAGTGCCGGAGGAGAGGGAGAGATTAAAGATGTGGGTGAGGGAGCGTAGGATGGAGGGGGAGGGAGGTCGTAGGAATTGTGAGGGGATAGGGTCGAGGGGGCAGGTGGTGAGGCGGGCATCAGAGAGGATCTTGGAGACTTCCTCGATGGTAGTAAGGTCAAAGGTGTGGAGTGTTGGGGGAGCTTCAGTATGAGGAATGTAGGGTGGGGTGGGAGTGGAGGTCAGAGCAGTGGTGGGGCATATGTACTCAGTACTTGGTTTGGGCCCCTTTTGCAGCAATTACTGCCTCAATGCGGCGTGGCATGGAAGCTATCAGCCTGTGGCACTGCTGAGGTGTTATGGAAGACCAGGATGCTTCAATAGCGGCCTTCAGCTCTTCTGCATTGTTCGGTCTCATGTCTCTCATCTTTCTCTTGGCAATGCCCCATAGATTCTCTATGGGGTTTCAGGTCAGGCGAGTTTGCTGGCCAATCAAGCACAGTAATCCCACGGTCACTGAACCAGGTTTTGGTGCTTTTGGCAGTGTGGGCAGGTGCCAAGTCCTGCTGGAAAATGAAGTCAGCATCCCAATAAAAATGACTGCGGAAGGAAGCATGAAGTGCTCCAAAATCTCCTGGTAGACGGTTGCGTTGACCCTGGACTTAATGAAGCACAGTGGACCAACACCAGCAGATGACATGGCTCCCCAAATCAGCACAGACTGTGGAAACTTCACAGTGGACTTCAAGCATCTTGCAGTGTGTGCCTCTCCATTCTTCCTCCATACTCTGGGTCCTTGGTTTCTAAATGAGATGCAAAAGTTGCTCTCATCAGAAAAGAGGATTTTGGACCACTGAGCAACAGACCAGGTCTGTTTTTCTTTAGCCCAAGTAAAAATCTTCTGATGTTTGTTGTTCAGGAGCGGCTTGACAAGAGGAATACGACAAACTGAAGCCCATGTCCAGGATTCGTCTGTGTGTGTCTTGATGCACTGACTCTAGTCTCAGTCCACTCCTTCTGAAAGTCCTCAACACTTTTGAATGGCCTTTTCCTGACAATCCTCTCCAGGCTGCGGTCATCCCTGCTGCTTGTGCACTTTTCCCTTCCACACTTTTCTCTTCCACATAACTTTCTATTAATGTGCTTTGATACAGCACTTTGGGAACATCCAACTTCTTTTGCAATTACCTTTTTGAGGCTTTCCCTCCTTATGGAGGGTGTCAATGATGGTTTTCTGCACAACAGTCAGGTCAGCAGTCTTTCCCATGATTGTGATTCCTACTGAACCAGACTGAGAGACCATTTAAAGGCTCAGGAACCCTTTGCAGGTGTTATGGCTTAATTAGCTGATTAGAGTGGGACACTTTGAGCCTAGAATATTGCACCTTTTCACAATATTCTAATTTTCTGAGATTGTGGATTTGGGGTTTTCATGAGTTGTAAGCCATAATCATCACAATTATGACAAATCACAGCTTGAACTATCTTGCTTTCATGTAATGAGTCTATCTCATATATTAGTTTCACCTTTTAAGTTGCATTACTGAAATAAATGAACTTCTACACGATATTCTAATTTTTCGAGTTTCACCTGTAAGTTTTACCTGTTTATTTGTAGCCCTCTCAGGTGTCAAAGTCCTGCATTTATACAACATTTCTGAGCTTCCAGAAAGCAGGGGCTGGGGAGCCCAAGTTACACTGCAGAGCTAAGTGAGAGCTGATTGGGGGGAAGGCACACATCCCCTTCACACAGGAACAGAGTGAGGCTGTCAGTCACAGGCTGTGTGCTGGAGATCCCTTCACTGTTGCTTTTTACCTCTTGATATCCGAAAAACTTGTCAGAACCGATTCATGCAGATAGCAGAGGAAGCAAGTGCCCGAAATGACACTTGGTGCTTTGGATAGAGACAAGTACATGCAATAGAGGGATATGCTTTGTTCATACATTATATTGCCAAAAGTATTGATTGGGATGCCTGCCTTTACACGTACATGAACTTTAATGGAATCCCAGTCTTAGTCCACCCCTCCTCCTAGATTGTAAGCTCTAACGAGCAGGTCCCTCTGTTTCCTCTTGTACCAAATTGTATTGTTACTGTAATGTCTGCCTTCATTTTGTAAAGCGCTGTGCAAACTGTTGGCGCTATATAAATCCTGTATAATAATAATAGTCCGTAGGGTTCAATATGGAGTTGGCCCACCCTTTGCAGCTATAACAGCTTCAACAATTCTGGGAAGGCTGTCCACAAGGTTTAGGAGGGTGTCTATGGGAATGTTAGACCATTTTTCTAGAAGCACATTTGTGAAGTCAGGCACTGATGTTGGATGAGAAGGCCTGGCTCACAGTCTCTGCTATAATTCATCCCAAAGGTGTTCTATCTGGTTGAGGTCAGGACTCTGTGCAGGCCAGTCAAGTTCCTCCACCCCAAACTCCCTCATCCATGTCTTTATGGACCTTGCTTTGTGCACTGGTGCGCAGTCATGTTGGAACAGGAAGGGGCCATCCCCAAACTGTTCCTACAAAGTTGGGAGCATGAAATTATCCAAAATGTCTTGATATGATGATGCCTTAAGAGTTCCCTTCACTGGAACTAAGGGGCCAAGCCCAACCCCTTAAAAACAACCCCACACCATAATCCCCCCTCCACCAAACTTTACACTTGGCACAATGCAGTCAGGCAAGTACCGTTCTCCTGGCAACTGCCAAACCCAGACACGTCCATTGGATTGTCAGACAGAGAAGCGTGATTGGTCACTCCAGAGAACACATCTCCACTGCTCTAGAGTCCAGTGGCGGTGTGCTTTACACCCCTGCATCTGACGCTTTGCATTGCACTTGGTGATGTAAGGCTTGGATGGAGCTGCTCAGCCATGGAAACCCATTCCATGAAGCTCTCTACACACTGTTGTTGTGCTAATCTGAAGGCCACACGAAGTTTGGAGGTCTTTAGCTATTGACTCTGCAGACAGTTGGGGACTTCTGCACACTGTGCGCTTTAGCATACTCTGACCCCGCTCTGTCATTTTTTGTGGCCTACCACTTCATGGCTGAGTTTCTGGTTTCCCAGTTGCTTCCACTTTGTTACAATCGTGGAATATTTAGTAGCAAGGAAATGTCACGGATGGACTTATTGCAGAGGTGACAACCTATCACGGTACCACGCCTGAATTCACTGACCTCCTGAGAGTGACCCATTCTTTCACAAATGTTTGTAGAAGCAATCTGCATGCCTAGGTGCTTGATTTTATACGCCTGTGGTCATGGATGTGATTGGATCACTTGGTGTCCCAATACTTTTGGCAATATAGTGTATTTTATGCTAAACTAACGGCAAAACTTTTTTTTTAGTTTTGGATAGAATGGAGAAGGATTAGAATACCTGTCAATTTTTATTGCTGTCTGTGCCCCCGTTACGGAGATTTACCCTATTTGTCCTGTTTACCGTTTTCATTGAAAGTAAAAGAAAATCTCAATTTTGGGTTTTCCCCAGAAAAGTAATAGAGGGGGGATCTTCCAATGGGGACATTGGTTCTGGTGATCTGGGGGTCTAGAATAGATTCTCTTAATTTGCAGGATTTCCTCTCACTTCCTGTTTTGGCAGTGGGACAGGAAGTGAAGGTAAATCTCCCCAATGGGACAAAGTGGGCGAAAAAAACTTAAAGGGGTTATAACCTTACTCTATTCAAAATGAAAAAAAAAAGTATTGCCTACTTTAAGGTAAATTGAGTGGATTTGGTTGCAGTGTTCACTGATTTGGTCTCTCTGGACTCTGTTTCTGGAGTTGCTATTTGAGATTCTATGTGATTCATCGCTGGTCGGAAATGGATTTGCCAGCATGTTTGTTTTCTAGCCGTGTCGTGTCAGAAATGTGTTTCCTCTGATATAGGAATGTCTATGTTCTAACAAGAATTTCATGTATTGGAAGTGACAACAAAGTGAGTGTCGTTGGGGAAAACCATGCACAGTGTATTGTACAGATGGGGAGCAGGCTCTGCTATTGGAACATGTGTTTACACTTACATCCCCGATGTTGGGTGGCCATATACTTGTACTGGCGGAAATAGACTTTCATGAACCTGTAATCAGGTCAAGATAGCTTCGTGTTCACAACATTCATGCAGCAGCTAAGAATTATTAAACTGAATTTGGTCTACCTTTTCTGAACTACATTGGGAATATCTTCCATTAAAGCTGTATTAAATGTGAAAACCAAAATGTAATATATTGCAGCTTACCAATCATTATATGTAGTGGCTGCATTTGTTTTCTCTTTTTTTTTTTTTTTTTTTTAGGCTGTTTTAGCCTTTATTTTCACTTGGTGATCGAGCCAGTAACACATTTCATGTCTTAGGGTGTCTTCACTCTGGATGGAGGAGCAATGAAGCCACCTTTGAAAGCAGCATTGTCAGTCTGGGGAGAGTGGAGTGTTTGGCTCCATGTACACTGCAGCTGATAAACTCACATTTAGGCGCTTTTCTGCGTTTTTTTTTTTTTTTTTTTTTTTTTTTTCAGCAGCCCCCTGAACTCTCCATAATGTTCCTATGTGTACACTGTTATTTACAGGCAGTTGAGTTTACAGTCGTTTTTTTTTTTTTTTTTAACGCACCAAACTTGCGTTCAGGAGTAGATTTTATCGCGTTTCAAACGCTTGTAACGTGTGGCATTTATAAGCATTTGCGTTTGGAAATTTTTTTTAACTCTTCCATTTCCAGATGCTGTCCAAGCATTTTTTCATCATGAAAAATTGCATGCAAAGCGTTTTCCCGGTACTCAAATGGACCTGGTACACCATACTTTGAAGTTTCACATGAAAGAAAATATGTTAGACACTGCTGCAATAATTTGTGCACAGAAATGAGCTGGAACACATCCAAACACCACACAAAAAAAACAGCTAATCTCAATAAATACTGTTCTCTCTGCTTCTGCTCTCTCTATTTCTCTCAAAATGTCTTTAATAGTTAAATTTTTACTGTTTTTCAGTGCATTCTGGGCAACCTCAAGGTTTTCTGAGGTTATCTTTAAAAAAACACTTCTAAACGCAAACACTCATAAACGCTGGTATGCAAACGTGGCTAAACATACTTTTTTTAACCTACGTTTTCCAGCAGTCAGTTTCCATCATTCAGAAGTATCCCATGTACATGGAGCCTTATGCCCCGTACACACTATAAGAAAATCATACGAAAATTTTCGTACGAGGACCGATCGTCCAATAATCGGATCATTAGTACACAGCTTTTGAGAGCTGATCACGACAATTCGTACGACAATATCCGAAGGGACAAAAATTTTTCTCATATGATACCAGATCGTACGATTTTCATTTAATCAGTACAGTAGTCGTCTGAAAATACAATACAAATACAATACATGACATCACTTTAGAAATTCTTTTCTTTCATAGGAGAATTTTCGTATCTTTAGCAACCTTTTCACTTTCGAAGTGAGACTAGCAGGCGAAAAAAAAAAACAGGCGATCGTTCGTCCGATATTCTCATCGTGTGTACGGGGCTTTAGACTAGCAGATTTAAATGGACATGACTAACAAATTGAAACTGAAATCCAGCTAACACTTTTTACTCAGTTACAACAAACCGTTTTTCTCCCTTTTTGGAATAAACATTTGGTATGAACAATAGCTGGCTGTTGTGAAAGAACCTCGGTCAGTGGTGAATGGTTTGTCACAACCTATTATGTTCTACATCTGCAGGACAGCTTGTTCTGTTGAAAAATCACAGACTTACTGGCCAGATCACCAGGTGAAAATAAAGGAAGCAGAGCCTAAAAAGAAAACAAATGCAGCCTTAACATCTAAGAATTGGTAAGCTGCATTGTTTGCTTTTGAGCTTAATACCACTTTAATGCCAGTGCTTCTCAAAGCTGGGGCTGCCAAATTTAAAAATATCGCCAAATTCAGAAACGGTATATCATAAACGTGCAGCGCTGTAAACTCATGAAACATAAATCTTATATACCATTCTCGAAGATATAAAGTGCAAACAAGTGCGTGAATAGTGCAATCAAATGAATCACTGAGAGTCTGTGATGACCACAAATATTATACAGCAGGCAGTGAAAACTGCTAATGTCCTTCATCCAAGTGCAAACGTGCAAACGTGCGGTTATTGATGAAGAGAATCCACCACCTCAGATGGATGTACACTCACCAGATTGTTTATATCACACATCTGGGGGTATAATGACAGCTCCAGATTTACTCCTGCAGCTCCCTCCATCCGTCAGTTGGGACAGGTGTCATCTAATCCTGGGGGAATCCGTTCAACCACAGGAGCCAGAAAGTGCTTATATAGTGCAGTATTGATGAGTTTAAATCACAGTAGTAAGAAAACATCCACATGGAGTAAATAAATTGTAAAATTATATACCAAGATGGCTACCGCTCCTCGGTAGTGGCGGCGTGACGTCAGCAATGTAGGCTCCCAACACGTTTCGTGCGACAGCACGTCCTCGGGTATAGGTGAATTAAGTTTTCAGTGATAAGTGCACTTTGCCCATGGAGATGTGATGCCTAGTGTGGCTTTGTGTTACTTATGCTGAGTGTTCATCGCAGGTCCCTTTTGGGTATTGTTATTCTTTATTCTTACCAAATACACAGTAGACAAAGTGGGTGCATTTAGAGTGTTATTATTTGTTTTGTGTTTACCATATACCATAGCATACCCTGGGTTTAAAAAAAAAAAAAAGTAATGTTCAGACTGGATTTACGAGAATTTGATCACTACAGCCATCCTGCATATATGATTACAGCTGGACTCGGCCTTACATTTTTTGCACACACATGCAGCAAGTCCTCTCCTGTGTTAGAATTGATGACTCTAAATTCACGGCACTCACTCGCATCTCCAATATTTTAATCATTTGAAGCTGCAGCAGCTCTCTTAAACCTGCCTTTAAATTCCTATTTTAACGACTTCAATCACTTTTATTCCTCTCAGTCTGTACTGGAACAGTCATTGGCCGATCAAAGCCCGTGGTGTCGCGCTCCTCTATCAGTACATTTAAAATATAAATATATAAATAATATAAATTATATTAAAATAATTCAATAAATTGCAACAATTATATCAAGTGACTGAGTCCTGCTATATTTCCACGGCGTGATATAGCAATCACGCTAGTGCTGCATGCATATCTTTGAAAAGTCCATGATCCTATGGTGTCTTCTAATGGTGTATTACAAAACAAATCTAGTCCACCAATTCATATATATATGTGCTCCTTCACCAGTTGTGCTCTCACCTGACGTATTTGACTAAACCGTTAAGTGAGGTCATACAAGCTTTTAATTGGGCTCAAAGGTGGACAAATGGATACATTTCTGTATCCCAGATGGATGGATGAATGGAGTTTTTCCTTTTTCCCAGCAGGGGGTCTCGCCATTTCCTAGGGATCTTTTTCCTGGAGGCAGATGGATGGATGGAGTTATCCCTCTTCCCACTAGGGGGTCTCTTGACTCCTTTCAAACTTATTCCTCCATGTGTATATAAACCATGTAATTAACCCGTTGCCGCCCCCGGCCTATAGCGATCCCTATGATTAAGGCAGGATATAACTAAACATGTCAGGGTGCGGCGTACCGGAAGTGATGCAGACCGCAACTGGAAGTGACATCACGGCGTTCTGTCCGGCAGATCCGGAGGTGGTGAGAGCACCAGCGGTATCTGTCTCACTAAAAGGCTATTTTTAGATTGTAAGCTCCCAGGATCAGGCCCTCCTATCCCTCTTGTATTGAACTGTATTGTTGCTGTATTGTCTCCCCTTATATTGTAAAGCGCTGAGCAAACTGTTGCGCTATATAAATCCTGTATAATAATAATAATAATAATATAAAAAGGCTTCACTATTTTTGGAATGTTGTAAGTGCAATATTTTGGCTTATTAAAATTGTTTACCTTTGGTAATACACGATTGGAGCAAATTTTTTTTCTCTTTCTATGTAAGTATGGAGAGGAATATATATTATGATCCTGGCTACCATTCTTATCATGGGTGATTATTGGAGGAACCTCCCGGTCTTATTTTTGGAATTAATCATTTGGAATCTTTATAACAAAGTGGAAAAAAAGGCTGTGTTCTGATCAGGGTGGATAAAAATCAATGATTTTTTTTTAAAAAAATCGGATTTTTTTTATTTTAAATCGGATTTTTTTAAATAAAATGCTTTTTGAGGAAAATATATTACCATTCAAAGGTTATTCCATCATGAAATA